CTTTAGTTAAATAATTTCTTACACTGCCAATTTTCTTAAGCTGAAAGTAAATACTTTTGCTGAGCTGGCTTATTTGGGAGGACATTTGCATGAAATGAAGGGAAACACATATTGAAGAGCAGCAGGAATATGTTGTAATGCCAAAAGATGATATTCGTCATTTCATTATCTCACACATTAAGAAATATGAAAAAAAATTCCTGAGGACTTTTTATCAACCACTCAACAGTATCTGTAGCAGTTGACTTTTGACAATGCTTTCACATTGCATACAAATCTTTGTGGAATGGAAATTGGAAAATATTTATCCCATCAACATGTAAAACAACTGTAAATTGTTTTTCCCCCATCGCTTTAATATAATCAAAGGCATGCTGGAAGAATGAGGCCAATAAGTGCAGAGTCCGCTTGTGGAACAATTTGTGTGATAATTTAACCTTTTCTGTTTCAAGTTCAGAACAGATTTAGCTGACAGAAATTACTTACGATTTGTAACTAACTGGTGTTCAAGCTGGGTCTTTTCCACTTTTAGTCTGCTCCTGAAAAAAAAAAGACCTCCTTTTTAGTAAATTTGGCAATTAAACACACACACAAGGCATAAACAAATAAGTAAAGTGCACAATTAATTCAATTACACGCACCATGGCTGGTCGCCACAGCCATAGAACTAATAGAAGCTACTTCACCAGTAAATAGACACTTTTCGTGCGAGATGCTCTAACCTCAATTTAAAAAAATACAGTAGTCTCCGCCAAAGATCCCACCGCTTACGATCCTGCTTCCCTTAAGCCTTAAGATCCCTTTGTTTTAAGAAAACAGAATTTTTATTTATTATAACAGTCACCCCTCAGATCCCGCTCTGATCCACTCTGAAGGTCTACATTCAGTTAAGATCCCGCATTTCAGATAATAATTTATGGAACAAAACCCGGGCAGGCACAGCGGATCAACCAAGAGTGATAGTATAGGTTGAGATCATTGAACTGGCGGGCGAATCAAAGATCAGCCACTCTTGTGAAAGTGATCACATTAGGATTGTAAAACTCAATGAAAGAGTACAATGTTTGCCCAGATGGGATCACACCGATGTGTGAACTCACCGACACATTAGTTTTCCCCACACATAGCACTCGCATCTGAGCTCTCCACGTAAATTTTTTACATCACTCACTAGGCGGGAAAGGCCTACAAGTTCGCTCCTGGTGGGATCACACCCAACTGTGAACGCTTCCCTGACGATGGCAGCAGTTGCTGTCTCTACTCCCGAATTTGCGAGACAGACTGAATTTCAATTCGTGGTGTGGTCACAACGTAAAAATATACGTAATGACAAAGGTGGGGGGAACTCAGTCATAGATGGTAAGCTATAAATTTTGGACAGGTAAAGGGGAGGGGCAACTGGACAAGTGTTGATCTTGAGACTCATGAAAGGATGATGGGTGAAAATGGTATGCCTCATGCCACTGTGACTAGCAATAAAGGTGGACCACTCTTTGCTCACCATATGTCATAAACCCACCTAATGGTCACGTCAGTTCCTTTCAGAGTGAAGTGAGACCATTTTACCGGTTGTGGGCCTTAACATTGGTCACCGTAGATTCTTCCCTTGGTGCGTCGGCCAAGATCCCTTATTTTCCTTGCGGAAGAGCGCTCATCCACGCAGTTTTCCAAGCGACCACCCCCGTCTGCCTGTCATCTATTGCAACTCGGAAAATGCATGGATAACAACCATTTTTACATTTTCAAATACAGTATAACTATAACTCAGATAGCTAGAACTCATCAGGACTGGTCTCGGTAGTTTGAGGGATCCGTAGTTGGAGGGATACATGAACTGTGTTATGGCATTGGCTGTGTCAGAGAATCAAGGGAAGCACTTGAAGCAACAAAGATTGCTACTTTAGGGGCAATCAATGATGAGCAACGCTTTCGAGTTCGATCGGTAATGAGCCTACAGGTACCAAGACAGGTTGATAGCGCAGATCGGTGTGAACAGTCTTTAGTCTACACAAATCAAACAGTGGGTTTTCAAAATTTTCAAAATATAAACAATTTGATTGGACATATCGCAACAGTAATCACTAACGCGATGACAAAGCAATGCAGCCCTACCCCTCCTCTCCCATCAAGCTTGCAGTCCTTTGCGAAGAGGGGTGGGTGGCCGATCATGTGATGCACAACCCTTCTCCTCTCCACACAAGCCTAGCTAGGCCTAGACACGCGTGTCAAGCAGCGTGGCTCCAGCGCGCTAAAAGTAACACAGCTAGCTGCTTCTGTGGAGGGGGGAAGGTGGTGTTTTACTGACATTCGTTGCTTTTTTCTGCTTTAAAATTTTTTTAATCATTATTATTTTGTCTCAAGTGTCCCTAAAAGGACATTGACTCTAGACCTATACGGCGGTGCAATTAGTTTGGCCATTCCGTGTTTGAGTTCAAGCTTCGCGTAATTTTCTTACAAAGATAAAGAAGAAGAAAAAACCGGGACCGCAAGCAGTTTGACGGAAGTGTGAGTTCAAGTCTGCTGTGTTCGACCTACCTGTGTTATACTGACCATACTTACCATTCTTCATCTGTCATGTCTGCAAGTCTTCCCAACCTCTCAATATCATCCAGGCGAGACTCACTCTTGGAAATCTCTGTCTCAAGTTGTTCAATCTGAGGACAAGAATATATAACAGTAAATGTCTGTTGCACAGAGATATTATAAATGTCATCTTCATTACCACACTCACAAGCGTAAAATGTCAAAGGCAAGGTATGCCTTGCATAAGTCATAAGCACTTCATTTATCAAAGCAGACCACAATTGCCCCATGCCTAAGCACTAAATTTCAAAGAATATCCACTTTTTAGTCTGGACTGGACATAGATCAAAAGCACATAAGATTGCCTCACTCTTGGCCTTCAGATGAGAAATTGGAATACAATGAACAATAAACAAGCACCTCAAGCACCTTTTGAAAAGAAAAACGGTCAAACCACACCAGAGCACCCTCAAACCACCTGCGCTTCATTCACTGTGACAATTACAGCTGCTGTGTAATAATTATATTATAATAATGGGGCCCTTTTTCGGTAGTTCCACCCCCCAATTATTATGCGCCTATTTTCCTGTTTTAGGAATATAGTCGAGTCAAAAATTTACTGATATCGGCCTAGATCGAATATTTGAAGAGATTTCGACTTATGAATCTCCTTCAGTACTATACATGCGACAGAATCTGCGCTTCAAACATATAGGAAGAATTAGCCATAAAAGAAGCTGCATGAAGAAAACCTTGAGACCATCTTAAGCTTAGCTAAATTGACGGTCTGCATCTAATAGACGAAAAGAGCCATATATATATACTATACATGAATGAAAATTGCTTGACTTAAACGCTTCTTTGTAACAGTTAATGGCACAGAAAATGGTTCATTCCCTTTCCAAATTGGCAATAATGTTATTAAAGAATAGTTGGCCAAATTGTACCTTCCAATTCTGACCAAAACAACAATGGCGAAAGTTTGGATGACAGTCAATTTCCCAGACGCACTTCATGATTGCAATTAACAACACCAGACCTAAGCCTAGGTAGGTGTAGTGTTTTTTTTTAACACTCTGCAGTCACTTGGCGCAATACAGCGCCGGTGAAAATTATCTGTTCCTGTCCGAGAAGTCTGTTGCAGTCGCTCTCCTGGCTAGGTGACAAAACGGGGTATTTTGCACTGCTGGCTGTGTGACTGCAAAGTGTTAATTATGTAATTTTGACAAATCGATTACCTCAAATATTTTTACCTAGACCTACTACTCGAATAGTAAATCGAGCTCAATTTTGAAAATTTCAAATAAAATATGCCAAAATAAGGGTAGTAGGAACTATCGAAAAAGCTCCAATAATTGTACAAATTATATTTATAGAGATCTAGATTAACAATTGATGAACTTCAAACTATTTAAAGTATAGAGGCTAACTATATGCTGCTAAGCGTAGAACGACGCACCTGCCTCATATTGGTTGCTTATTTTAGTAATGTGACGTCATCACATCCTGGGATACCCACAGGCTATTTTAAAAGAACGCAGAAATACCAAAGATTCTCTACTAAACACTACACTACATGTACACACTACACGATCTCTGGGGATATCGCAGGGAACGACAAGTTGGGTCAGTGGCTTGACATATATATATAAATCCGTATTGATGTGTTTCGCAAGAAAAAATTTCACACTTGCGGCTAACTGCAGCATGTCAGCCACGCTCTGGTGATGGAAGACCGCTTCCTGGTACATCTCCTGGAAAAACATCGCACCAAACATTGTGCCATGGTAGGTAAACACAATCTTTCATGCCATGTGGTTCGCTATGTTTAGATCATGGTGTCACGTGATCGGAGGGGTATCCTGGTCTGACGTCATACAAGATGGCCGCCTTACCTAAAAATAGTTTGTGTCGTTCTACATAATTTAGTCGCTGTGAGGTCAGGGGACATGATTATTATTATTATGGGACAGAATCATGTATAGTTTAGTTAAGGGAGTAGCGCGCCCTTTGGATCACGTGACATTGAAAAGCGGGAATGAGGCCGACGTCTTCTGAGAGACACACAAGGAGAGTCAGTCAAGCACAGGACGAGAGAACGACAACATCGATCCTGGACGGGGGCCCCCTGAAAGACCAAGACTCAATAGGACCGCCAGTTAACTTTACAAGTCGCATGTAGGCTAACTAATGTTGTCTCATCAGAGGCTAGTTGATAAAAAGGCAATGATCTAGAACTTTTGTCACAAAGTATAGATCTAGATCTAGATCTAGATCTAGTCAAAGTTGACAGTCAGAAGTCAAAGCAAAGCAGACACAACACCAACTGACAACAAAACACACTCGTCCTCTCCTCAGTACCCAATAAAACTTTTCCTCAGTGAAGCAATTAGACAATTAGACAGTACCTCAGTGACAATTGTCTTCATGTCGGGACGCTTTTCTCTTCCTGTCTTGAAATAGAATCTGGACAGAACAAGGCAAGGAAAAGCACTTGATCTTGATTACTGACACTTAACTATTAACTAAACAAAATGCATGGCGAAGGACTGTGATTGAGAAGTTGTAGGCCTACTTTCGTTTTCTCAATTTTCAAGCTACGTGACAATACCCAGATTTTGTTCTACTTCCGTTGATTTTTCTACCACCCGCCCAAAGACTAAAGACTAGCTCTTTGCACCCGCCAAAGATGCAGATTTTATAATAATCATTTTTATAAGAGTTATAAGAACATGTAAGTAGCATCATTTTTATTTCTCCTTGAAACTTGATGAAATGTGGGTTTTTAAAATGTCCCTGACGAAATGAAATATATTGCATAGCTCATTGAATTATCGAAACATCGATCGGTGTATTAGGCCTATGACCTCGGAAACAAAACGTCCTACTTGGCTTTAATATTCAATGAGTCGACTTCTTTTTATAGATCGGGTTTTCCCGTTGTCAGGCTGTCAGCTGAGTTTGAATAATGACATCTGATCAATGACAGGAGAATTGAATTAAATCGACAGGATGAGTCAATAAATGTTACACAAGTTCAGTACTTATATCTTTGATTTTCAGTTTGAGTGGCTTCCCAGACAAAGTTGGACTGACCCGACCATTCCGTCATCTTGAGAACGTAAGTTTTCTGTTAAATATAAACCTGTTAAAGTTAAAGCAAGGTGTGATACTTCTGCTATTTACATGTATACAGTAGGCCTATTTATGTCTCTATCACATTCTGTGGTCTATCTTGAATAGATCTGGATTCTAGTTGTGAAGAGCGCGACTGACTCAAAGGTACTTTACCCTAAGATTGTTATCTAGATTCTAGTAGATCTAGTGAAAAATATTTGCTTTACCTCTCACTTAGACTTCAAAGCCCAAATTATAATTTATTAGCCTTTGACAGATAGCCTAGATCTAGATCTAGATCTAGTCGGAAATGAATAAAATTGCACGGTGTAACGTAGTCAAGGGCGCGTCGCCCAGGTACAAGCATAGGCCCTATAGATCTAGATCTGGATAGAATCTAACACATAAAAAAAAGAAAATGGACTTGCATTGTAAGACCTGACTTGGCCTACTCAATACTACACTTTCAACTTTGTTAGGCCTAATAAGACGTTTATTATTGTGCAGTCTACTGTGGTTTTCCTCAATTTAAAATTTCGAATTATAAAAAAAAAATTGTGCTGTTGTTGTCGTGTGTTCAATTCGCGTAGGATGTGTGTGTGTGTGTGTGTGTGTGTGTGTGTGTGTGTATAATGCATAGAGAGAGAGAG